TGTTTCATTACTCGATATTTGTCAGCTGTACTTCCTTACCCGTTACATAATGCCTATTGCTCCCTGTGAGACCTCTCTATTCTCGAGGGGCAACATTATGGAGGCATATTGCTCAGTGTTTTTGTCAGACACTCAATTGTCAAACTGAGAGGAAAGGCGTGTATAATTATATCACACAGTGAGTAAAATCTCAATCCAACTCAATTTGATCTATACCGTTTGTCTTTTCCAGGTGTAAATTGTTCCTTTTTAATGATAAGTCTGATTGTCACAGAGTTATTGTTCAGTGAAAGTAGTTCTGCTGTTCCAAATGGGAAAAAAATGTAAAAAAATAGAAATAATAAATGCTTCCCAGTCTAGGAAGAGAGGCCTTTGTCAAGGCCACCGGTGGGCTGCATGGCCTCCTGATAATAGATCTAAAAGCTCCGGGTTACTTTGTTTTTGCGAGGTGCCTTGGAATTAAATCGCATCCACATAGCCAAAACCCAGTGAATTTAATCGTTGCCTCCGTCTTATTTCCTGCCTGCATTCACGAAAACTTCAGGAAATTGCTACTATGAACTTGTGACCTGAGAACGATTTGGAATAAATTGATTTTCCAGAGTGGGAGTAGGAGCATATCTCAGCTATGTTCTCTTTTGGGAAAAAAGTAGTGATTTAAAAACCTCTATTACACTTAGAGAATGAACAATCCTTTCCAGAGAGTGAGGAAATTTTTAGGTCAGAGGAAGACAAAACTCTAACAAATGTCATTAAATCTTCACAACTGAGCTGCTTTTTTGGTTCAGTCCATGAGATCTTACATCGGATTTGGAAAAGTCACGTGGCAAACCTTCACGTAACCAACTGTTTGATCCTTAATTGCCTAATAATAAATTGCCCACTCCTAGAGGTTGATGTTTTGATCTAAATATCTAGCAGTTTTGCTAATTGCAGTGGTATATATAAACCTATAAAGTTGTTGCCAGTTTCGACCACCCTGTTATTAAGACTTTGCATCATTTATCCCCTCTACTTACTGACCCACTTACATAATGTTTATCCATCCCCGGGAGACCTTTTAGTTACTTTAGTAACTATCAAGTAACTATCTTGGTGCCCTAATGGAAACAAGCTGCAGCAGTGGCAATCAGAGATGATGTATGTGATAAACCTCTTAAGTGTTGCTTCAAAGAAATGCTGCTGGGAAAACTGATCAGAAGCAACTCCGCTCTAATGAGAACACCAGATGATACCGAGTTTTGATGTTCTTAATCTTTGCCTCGTTTCTTTTTTTTCTCCTTTGCCTCGTTTCTGCTAAACTAATTGCCTGCCACCTCTGTTGCTCAAATTTACACCATCGCCTTTATCCTTCCCTTCATATCGACATGCAAGCCCCATTATAGAAATCTCAGAAAAAAGCAATCGGTTTGTATGTTGCAGACAACAGCTTTCTTTGCCAGGAATAAAAAATTGACCAGTTTGATCCAAACAATTTAACTTAAACAAGTTTACTGATGTAAGAATCTGAAAATGATGCATCGCTGGAGTGCCAAAATAAAGCGGACGAAAGCTACTAGCACATATGTTTTGCATTTTCTTTATTGCACAAGTCATAATTAAACACAAGAAGAAGAAGAAGTGAAATGATGAAATACATGCAAAATATGCAGTGCTGATGCAGAGGAACTCGTTGCTCTGGTCTAATCCATTCAGTGCTTTTGAAAGAGTACCTTTTAACTCAAGCCATAATCTCATGTTAATGCTAAACCAGTAGTTTTGGTGCCTAAACCAAACAACAAAAGAGAACGGGAGTAAACCACAATCGAAATTCAAACTTTAAAAATGTCGCTGTAGAAATTTAGACCCTATTTAAAAGAATTTTTCAAAAGTTTTTTAGATGAATTTGTGTTTTTGCCACCAGCTGCCCTCATTTGAGATGATATGGTCATTCAGGTGGGGGACTTGATAACTACAACATAATGTCTTTCAACATAAATATACTACGTTATGAGTTAAATATGCTCAGCAACAGGATCAGCACTTATTTTGAATGAACAGACCAAAGAAGATTTGGCGTTTGGTGAATGCTGGCTGCTAAAAGAACAAACGAACTACAACCTTTAAAGAAAGTCCAGTGGAAGAACAAAACACAAGACTGGGTTAAGGAGTAGTTGCTGTAACATTCTGTCGACATTTAGTGTTCGTAGGGTGAACTTAAGGGACTTTGTCCCTTGTCCCTATCAGCTATTTACCTCAGGATGAATTGTGGAGGTCCTAAATCACTGACCTGTCTGATTTGTGGGTTGGCTGTGGTGTGAGTTATGGGTCATGGTTTCATGTTGGCTATTGACCGTACTGACTGATAGCTCCTAGGAGACAAGAGGGGTCGGAAGGTGTCAAGTTGTGGTAGTGTGATATATCTGTGTGCGGGCAGCTGTATTGATTTGCCATCATTAAAGCACATGTGAATACCATCATGTTTTCAGCATAACACTTTCTTTATTGTTTATTACAGTGTATATAGAAAAAATGCAGTAGAGAAAGTGATTTGTGACCATATTACTTTAATTAAAACCAGTTTTACCTGGTATCTAGGCAAAACTGAAAACAAAACTCTTGGTATTGACACAAGCAGTCTCTGTGACACTGTTTGGTTTGGGTGTCTGCCACCCACATTCCAAATATCGGCAAAGAAAATACCATATGAAATGTAATGACGTCTATGATGACAGACAGTGACAATCCAGAAATGCCAGAAGGTTTTCTATCTCACAAGCAGACAAGTTGAAATTCTGTTTGTGCATAAAACACAGAAACAGTTTAGCAAGTCTTAGTGGTACTATTATTTTCTTGAGTTTAATTTCAAGTCCATTGTATTGACTGTTCGGGAATTACAGCGATTGTTATGTATAGTCCCAATTTTCGGAGGCTCAAAGTTAATCGAACAATCAACTGACAAGCATTTGCATTTCACGATGAGGCCTGTTTCCTTCTTATTTCCTGACGAACTAGGTAGATAAAGTATTTGGAGTTGATTGCAAGTGTTAAACTTGCATTTCACATCTTTTTATTGGAACTCTCAATATAGATGTCTAAAGAGATGTCAATGCAAATGAAGGAGACGATCATTAGGCTGGAAAAACAAACAAACAAATACATGTACGGGAGAACCAAGATCCGAACATTCCCAAGGAGGTAGGCATATCATTGTCAAAGTCTACAATCAGGAAAGGACTTCTTGATTGTAAATACAGAGGGTTTACAGTAAGGTGCAAACCACTGGTTACATTAAAGAACAAGAAGCCCCGATAAGACTTTGCCAGAAAACATCTGAAAGAGCCTGCATAGCTCCGGGAAAACAAGCCTTTGGGAATACGAAACCAAGATTGCTTTTTGCCAGAATAATGGAAAGAGAGAAGTAATGGAAAAGGAGAGAAACAGCTTTGATCTGAAGCATACCACATCTTCTGTCAATTATGGTAATGGCATGGGGATGTATGGCTCCCAGTGGAACCAGGTCACTAGTGTTTATTGATTATTCAACTGCCGATAGAAGTTGAAGGATGAATTCTGAAATGTACTCTCTGCTCAGATTCAGCCAAGTACTGCAAAACTAATTGGGCAACACTTTGCAGTGCAAATGGATACAGACCCAAAGCAAAGGGCAAAACGAACATGAGAGTTTCTGATGGCAGTCGCTGGAGACAAAACTGAAAGTTGCTGCTGAAATAAGCAGCAGCTTTAGTGAAGACCTTGCGGAGCATCGCAAGGGTGATGATCTCTTCTTGACTGAAGTCATTTGCAGTCAAGCAATCATTATATTTAAACTGATGTTGATTTCTTGTATTATAAGTCTCTATAAATGCAAGATTATGTATAAAAGTGGCTGTAAGTCATTGAAACCCCTTGAAATAAAGCTTAAAGTCTGCAGTTAAAAACCTCCTGGGGTGGTGTACAGATGTATGCTTAGCTATGGGGATGATCACAGCTCATTTTTAACACTCAGTCATGTGTTCCTTGTTCCTGGTTAGAGCTGTTTGACAGGGATGCAGTTAAATAACGAGAGGTGAGAGGTGGGTGTGCATGAGTGAAAGATACGACCCGATTCACATTACTTTGCTGAACAGCTGAAAGATTAAAAAAGTGAAACTGAAAAACGGGCTCTGAAAACGCATCACATCATTGATTTCTCATAAATCACTAATGGAGTCTGCTTAGGGATTTTCAGTGTGAAGTGAAGACTATTGAAAACCACCAATTCAGATGCTTTCATCTCATTCTGTAAGCAGTAGCCTTGAAAACACTAGGAAGTACTAGGAAGAAAAAGAGGGGCTCGCTTGCGTTTAGAAAGGAGAGAGAAGCAGAAATAACATTTATCTAGACACATTTATTTTTAACAAGGGGCAGCCTCGACATCTATTGACATAATGTGCAGTTTTTGTCAATTGTGCTAGCCAGTTTGCACAATTAGACCCTCCCCAGCCTGTCTCTTTTTTCTGTTTCCCAATTTCTAAGCACCAGAAACAGGCGCCGCTCTCCACGTTGAGTCGGTTGCTTACTTGGCTGCGCACTACAGTGCACTCGGTGACCTGGCTTTTATACCGAGAGAGTGACTCTGACAGCGTGTAGGCAGATACATTCAAGTGTGTGAGTCTGGATGTGTATTCTGTGGATACATGTTAAACAGTTTTGTCAGCCTGTGAATCTGTTTGTCTTGGGTGTGCTTCATGTGCATAATATAGAGTGTGAGTTTGTGTACGTGGTGTCTGCCTTAGCTCCGGTCATATCAGTGAGGAGGTGGCACTGTACTGTCCAATAAGAGCAGTCAGCCTGCAGGCAGGATTGGCCATCTGGACACATGATAGGGAGCCTAGCCCAGACATCAGTCTTTCTTCAATTCCTCTTAGTATTATCTGAGCTCCATGTCTTTCTGCTGCCTGTATATCCATTAATAATAAAACACTGTATTTTAACATAACCCTTTCTCTCCTTTCTCTCTCTCTCCCCATCTCCCACAGTTTGCTGTTTTGTGGTCCACAAGAGATGCCATGAATTTGTCACGTTCTCCTGCCCGGGGGCAGATAAGGGGCCCGATACAGATGTAAGTAACCCAGCCCAGCTGTTGCCTCTTACATCTTTGTTGACGAGGAAGTGCTTTCCTTGTCATTAAACTGAAGTACGTGCCACCGATATGCAGTTGCACCAACCAGACCTCGCTCTTTCCCGAACAGTGTCGCTCTTTGACAGCTGTAGTGCTTCCATGTTTCCTTATCGTGTTATGAAGCAGCTGTCTGTAAAGGGGGAAATGAAAAATTAAACTGACATTTCTTCTGACAAGTATCACTTTCCAAGCATCTTGAGCTACAAAGATACTCCAGATGTTTAAAAATGAAATAAAATCCTGCCTTTTATAGAGTAATGTTGATAGCTACATATATAAATATTGATCTCAGAAATGTGGTGATTATGGTGGTAAATTGTTAAGACTGATTATACATGTCTTAGTGGAGAGATGGAAAGCCGTTCTAGTGCCTCTTCTAGTATCTGCCCATTTCTCCGAGAGAGAAATGACTTCAAAACATGGCAGGAGAATGGCCCCCACAGCGCACCCGAACCACTGGATTCCCTCAGGATAAAGGGTTTGTTTATTTCCTTGAATGTGTCACCATCCTTTATATAGTTGCATTAATAAACGAATCTAATGGTTATCTGAAGAAGCCCATTCAAATTTTAAGTCCTGTTGACTCAGTGCTGAATTACTACAGCAGTAGGTGGCAAACTCATTCATTGTTTGTGTTGCCGTTGAATAACTGGTTGCCACCTTTAGTGAAAGTGACTAAAATATTTCTCTCAGTGATCTTCTCTCCCGAAACCCTTAAGGGAAACTTGACTTTATTGTCTCTCTGAAATAGTGCTGTGTACCACATTTGATGCTTTTATGGCATCAGCTGATTTGCACCAGTATTTAAAAATGAATTGCCCCACCAGTATTACCCAATGAATCCCATCAGTGTCAGTGAGGCTTTAAGGTTTGTCTAAGCTAACCTTACATTCAGCAGATTGTTGGAAACATTACTCAGAGATTTTGCTCCATTTTGATATGACAGCATAACACAGTTGCTGCAGATTTGTTGGCTGCACATCCATAATTTGAACCTCCTGTTCCACCACATGCCAACGGGGCTCTTTTGGATTGAGATTTGTTGACTGTGCGGGCCAGATGAGCACAGTAATATCATTGTCACGTTTCAGAAACCAGTTTGTGATGATTTGAGCTTTGTGACATGGCATGTTATATTACTGAGAGCAGCCATCAGAAAATGAACACACTCTGGTCATAAAAGGCGTGATCACCAACAGTACTAAGGTAGACTGTGGTGTTTAAACAATGCTCAGGTAGTGCTGAGGAGCTCAGAGTGTGTCGAGAAAATATGCCCAAGACCATTACACCAGCAGCAGCAGCAGCAGCCTGAATTATTTATACAAGGCAGAACGCTGTCGTGTTGCTTATGCCAAATTCTGACCCTACGACCTACCTGTCACAGCAGAAATGGAGACATTTTTCCAATCTATTGTCCTACTTTGGCCAACTTGTGCAACTTGTAGCCTCAGTTTCCTGTTCTTAGCTGATTGGAGGGACTCTCGGTGTGGTCTTCTACTGCTGACATCAACAAGCCATTTTCACCCAGAGAACTGCTGCTCACTGGATATTTTGTCTTTTCCTCACCATTCTCTGTATATCCTAGAGATGGCTGTGTGGGGAAAGACAGATCAGCAGTTTCTGAACAGACCCGGCTGAAGCCAACAGCCATGCCAAGTTCAGAATCATTTAAATCACCTTTGTTCCCCAATTTATTTTCTGGAACATATTTTCATGGCTAAATGGTAAAGTTCCTGTCATCTGACTGACTGATGAATTTGCATTCATGAGCAGATGATCAGGTATACCTAATGAAATTGCTGCTGAGTTTATATGGAAAGTTGACAATGCTGTTGATTTGATTTCATTTACAATGAATTTCATAAAATAACTATTACAAAAAATTTGATTAGGAACTAGTATCAAAAGCAATAGAAACCAATGCAATCTCCAAACATCTTTAAAAAACAGGTTGTGACTTTGTGTAGGACGGAGTTCAGAGACAACCCGACTGGCATACAAATGTTGCATTAATGATGACTGGGTCCTGATGTAGTTCACAGACAGATGGGCAATGTAGGATTGGTGGCTATAATCAACAAAACTACATCTGTCTTGGCAAAGCCAAGAGGTGCACACAGTTCGAGCAGCTGTTTCTCTGTACCTGTCAAAATAAATCGTGACCGAAAAGAAAAACTAATCCTAGCGAGACACTGTGAAATTTAGTGAGCGTCCATGAAATTTGCCATTGTATTAGTTTTGCTTCTTTTTGCATTTTGCATTATTAAACCACTTGGCATTTGTGCTTAAAGTTCTAGTTGAAATGGTTCATAAAGTGATCAATTCTGTAAATTAGTTTTTTGCCTGATAATTTTATCATTTTAACTTAGTAAATTAAAAAAGAGCTTTATTTTAAAATCCAATTTTTAATTGGCCTGTCAAAATTTTGAGATGAATATCATCTCTTATATGACACGTTTATGAGGTCTCCCACTGGCCTCTTTATCAGCTTCTAGTATCAGCTATCTGCCATCAACCACTGCTTGCTTGCATTTACATACCTGCTTGCCTACTGGACATTCATGACCTCCAAGTGTAGCAGCAGCATGGCCTGGCCCCTGTAACTAGAGATATGTCACACTGCCGTTCAAGATCATCTAGTCATACTCTTTAAATAGAGCACTCTGTGGAAGACATTGAAGCTGTAACTGTATGAAATAGTCTCAGGGTAAATCTCACTCATTTCTGTTTCATACATGTGTTACATAAAACTTCGGAGTGCTGCACTCCCTCCCCATTGGCAAAAGTGGGAACGTAAAACTCCCTTTTAACAGGAAGAACCAGGCTCAAGGAAGGGCAGCCATCTGGTGCGGCTGATTAGGGTGAGGGGAGGAAGACAGGACAAAAGACACACTCTGGAAGAAAGCCAGAGATTAATAACAACTCATGATTAAATGCAAAGTGGTTAGGGCTGCCGCGATTAGTCGACTAGTCACGATTACGTCGACTATCAAAATCGTCGATGACTGATTTAATAGTCGACGCGTCGTTTGAAGCTTTGTAAGATCACAAAAGACGCAGGAATAAGTAGTAGAATTTAAGAGTGTAATAACGGACTGAAACAGAAGATGGCAGCACTGCATGTACAAGGATGCCAGGGTCACAAAATAAACGTTTAACATATTTTCAGGCGAGAATGTAGCTGTGTAAACCTCAAATATCTGCTCAGCTTATCAAGACACCACATATTTTCAAAAGCGCTCCGACGTTTTCGGAGACGTCTGTTAGTCACTAGCTCGATAGCTAGCCGGGAGCAAGGCTCACTAGAGCCCGTGAGAACACCGGACTCCCGGCAAATCGTTTTCAAACCCACCGCCGTCTTTCGCTACTCAGGTTAAATATATTTAAGTCACTCAGATAACTTGAAAATGTTATTGTTTCGCTTTTTTTTAGTATTTTATTTGTTCCTGAGTAAATCAGTTTGTCTGAGATTAAAGTTATAGTTTTTACACAGCTGAATAAACGTCAAGCAGACAGCTGATTATTAGAAGTGTGAGATGCTGGAGAATATTCTCCGATGTCCCGTTATATTTTAGATAGCAAGGAGTTTATTAAACTTCACCGAAACAATTTGCAAACTTCATTAAAATTTAATAAACTATCATCTTGTCTTTATTTTTAGTTAGCACAGACCTGAAACACTTAAAGCTGTAAGCTAATGATAGTTATCTAAGAGCAGATGCTGCTGGTGCAGTAAGCTGTACGTTTTACGTCCAATGGATGCATGATCTGATTAGTCGACTAATCTCAAAAATAATCGGTGACTAGTCGACTATCAAAATAATCGTTTGTGGCAGCCCTAGCACATGGTGAGTGAAAAGAGTTGAGGGAATGAAAAAGACTCGGCGCATCATGGGAAGCCCCCAGCAGCCTAAGCCTATTGCAGCAATAAGGGAGGATTCAGGGTCACCTGATCCAACCCTTGTAAGCTTTATTAAAAAGAAAGTTTTAAGCCTGATCTTACAAGTAGAGAGGGTATCTGTTTTCCAAATCCAAACTGGGAGCTGCTTCTGCCGAAGAGGGTCCTGAAAGGATCTCCCTCCCATTCTACTTTTAAATATCATAGGAACCACAAGTAAGCCTGCAGCCTGAGAGCGATGTGCTCTATTGGGCTGAAATGTAATATTTAATACAAGGTCTTTAAGGTAAGATGGAGCCTGATTGTTCAAGGATAATGATTTTAAGTTCGATTCTGGATTTCTGAGAATGCTGCAGCATTTTGGGTCAACCGAAGGAGTTTTTAGGACATCCTGGTAATAAGAAATTACAGTAGTCCAGCCTAGAAGTGACAAATCAATGAACTAGCCTTTCAGTGTCACTCTGGGACAGGATCATTCAATTTCAGAGATATTGTGCAAATGCAAGAAAGCAGTCCTACGTAACTGTTTTATATGCACATTGAAGAAAATATCCTGATCAAAAATTACTCCCAATATTCCTCACAGTGTTTCTGTAGGCCAAGGTAATGGCATGCTTTTACTTAAATGCCACTATATTTATCATAGTTACTCCTGCTCTTAAGGTAATTGTAAAAGATATTGTATACTTACCTAACAGAACGGCTCCTAAGAGGGGTCCTAATACACAGAAATCCACTGCAATAAAAGAAGGTGTTACTTAGAACACCGTGACTCTGAATTATTCTGATCCGTTTGTTCATGCAGCGAAGTGCGTGACTCTGTAATTCTACAATTTAAGGAAAAAACATTACCACCAAAGACCAAATCCTTTAAAACTGCATGCTGTCTTTTCCCTTATCAGAATACTTGGTGCTTCTTTTTCATATACATTTCTGTGCACTTACAGTAGCACTACTGTTGCCAGGGGCAACCACACATATTAAATGGCTTTCTGCCTCCCAGGCGTGCAATCCGGGAAGGCAATAACTCCCATAGCCAGCA